TTTTTTTTTTCTTGCAATAAGACAAATATGTATGCCCCTATGTACTTGGGTAGAAGATATTGCAGCAATCAGCATCAACAAGAAACAATGAAAATCACTTAAGTGAGACGGACTTTGTTCGGTTAGAAGCTTTGACTACCCATAAAAAAAAGTCAAACTTTTACGGTCTTTAACTTTTCGCTGTAAATATCAGATTTTTGATACATTATTACTATTAGCACGCAAACGCTTTGGTTTTGTTGTTGCTTTGCATATATACATTATGCATTTATGCTAAATTGCTCTTGAAATGCAAATAAATACAGGCAGCTGATTCGCTCTTTGGCGAGAAAAATATTGTGTAGAATGCAAAATAGTTTAAAATTTGAGTAATTCTAAAGTGTCTGAAAATATGAAGCTGTGGAGAATAATTAGAAATATCTTATAATTAAATAAATTTTTCTCGTGAATTTGTTTTGTTCTTATGAGTTTATCTACTTTTGCTCGCTGTCGTGTTGGCTTTTGCCTGCATGAGAGCAAAAAGATTTGCGATTTTTTCGCATGCAATCATTCATAACAGGGTGACTCAGTTATCGATTGAAAATAAGATAACTGGCTAAAGCCATTCTGAAGCGTTGCTAGTTATGATAAAAGTAATTGAAGGAAATTGTAGGGAAAGAAAATTCTGCCGTTCTACATTAGAATTTCAATTGAAAAAATGCAATTTTTATAATTTTAAGTAATACCTAATATTTTTCATATGCATTTATTTCCAGCCAATATGCATTTACGTACATACATACATTCTAAATAAAAGAGGATCATGATATATTCGAAATTTTACATATATGGTGAAATGTAGAAAATTAAAAAATGTTACAAAGTAAAAGACAATTAAAAAAATTTAAAAACTTCAAGATCATGATCTATAGGAAGTTTTACATGAAAAATATTGAATTTGAAAAAATCAAAAATTTTACAAATTAAAAGATTTTAAAAAAATTTAAGAATTACAAAAAATGAGAAAATACAATTTCTCAGAGCTCAAGAAGTTTAAAGAAGTTTAATTTTAAAATCAAAACTAAATTGTAAAATTCTAAAATTATATTTTAAAGTTTTAAATAAAAAAATTTAATAAAGCAATTACACAAAAAACAAATTTAAGTGATTTTTAGTTTTATTTTAGTTTGATGAGAAAATATGATAATCTCCAGAATAGCGGCTATATCTTCTATAAATTTCAATAGGTGCTGTTTTCCTCATGATATTTTAAGTAAAACTGGCATCAAGTTCAAATACAATTATAACTTTTTGTTCTAAAAAAATGAAAAAAAATAGTTCTTAAGTAGTGTTAAAAAGTGGAAATTCGTAAAACAAAAGAAAAAAACTAAAAAATTAGCTTTTGGAAAATCTAGCACTGCCCAATTTCAAAATAAAGCATTAACCCTTTTTTAATTTTTTGTTGAATTTTTTTTTTTACCCATGGGAAAGTGAGTTTTGTTTATGCGACTACAGGAAAGTTAAATGGAAAGTAAAAAGACATTTATTATCAAATTTAACTTAATCCTAAAACCCTACAGTTAGTTGTTAAATTTTTTTTTTGCATTAACAACGAGAGCACGAGCTCAAGTCCTTTCAGATTTTTGTGGTGTACGCCATTTAAGGGTTAATCACTTCTAACATAGACGTGGCAAAATTGCATATTTCAGTGCACTTATTTCAACGCTGCTGCTACAAAAATTTCCCTACTTTGTGTGACAAAACCTTTTTTTCAGGTAAGTAAATTTCTTGGTTTCGAGTTGCAGCAACAACAAAACTAAAAACCTATGAGTTTTTTTCTGAGTATGCAACTGCAAATGTGTATCTACACGCGATTAGAATACTACTATGAGACGGTCTTAACTCAAAAAATAGTATTTTTCCGCAGACGCATTCAAAGTTTTCAAAAGATGAAATAAATATTGTGTTTTTTTACACGGAAATTTTTGCACAATATGAAACGTGATACAACAAGTAATTCTGCATATTTTGCTCGAAAATTTCATTTTTTGAGTTACGACAGTTTTTTAGTTAATGTGCGATATGCACGTAGCTACTGATCCTTCATTCGCACGCACTTTTATCTGAGTTGCATTTTTTCTAAAAATTTGCGATGCAATACCCGAATTACCCTCTCAACAATACAATAAATAATTAAATAGTAAAAATCAACAATTTTGCCGTTTTATACGCTACGCTACCAAACAAAAATTACTTTTCGAATTAATTTTTTTTTTAAGTAACTTACTTTTGCATTGGGTACCATCACATAGCATGGACTGTCTTGTCCCTTCTGCCAAATTTCGTATAGCCAATTTTCAGGTTGACGCATCGACATTGTGCCCATCATTTTTTTCTCGGTGTCGCGCGTGTTGCTGGTTTTAATTTCTCTCACCAAAGTTTATAGTTATTTGTGTTTTTTTCTATCTCAACAGCGCACTTTAACGCTTAACACTTTAATTTTTATTTTTTGATTGCCTTTATTTGGGCGTGTGTGATATGTGTGTTTGTGTGTTGAGTCGCTATGTTACGCTTTTTAATGAGCGAGCGATAGTGTCAGTTTTGAAATTATATAACAATATCACAGCTTTTACAATTTTTTTCTTACTAAAGCGTAAGAAACGACACGTTGGCTGCTGATTTTTCGACGGAAAAAAGTCTCTTCTTTTAGCAATGATTTTTGCTGCAAAGTTATGCTTGAATTTTTGCTTAATCTCTTTAAAATTTTTTGTGCTTATTTGCTTTTGTTTTTAGATTCTATATTTTTTTCGTACAAAAGGCACACAGTCTTTTTTATTAGCTTCTCTATTAGTGTAATTTTAATTTCTAGCTTTTTTTGTTAAAATTTTTACTGGCTGTTATCTATTTTATCAGCAGTTCTTTTTTGGCGTGTTGTTGGTTTTACAAAAGTTCAGCAATAACTGAATTTCAATTCAATGTTCAATACAAATTGTATCTCTTTTCAGCCACTCGGCTGTCTGGGCACGCAATCTTTTTCACTAAAACACATGATTTCAATAGCGAGTTGGACTTTCGAGCGAGTTATAAAAATCGCACGATTGCCCGAGCTTTTGCGGCACTTTTTGTGTGTATTGGTGAGCGAAGTTAAGCTTTTTTGAGTATAAAAATGTTCACTTTGAGTATTTCTATCGATTTTGCTGAGCTGGAAGTTGGCTTTCATGCGCAAAATGTAAAAATGTGACTTAAAACTGTACTTGGAAATTGTGGAAAACCCTTTTCTAGTATTTAAGTAAGCGTTTTTTTTTTGGAATTAATATAATTCACAAATTCAGTCTTTTTGAACATAGGCAATATTTTACTTTTAAAAAATGTGCTCTTATTTTCATCAATTTGTATCTATTTTTGAAAAGATTTCACTTTTTGTTGTTGCTGTGGCAGCTTAATTTTTGTATAGCTTTGTATAAGTTGTTTTCGGTAACAAGTTTATATGGCGACTCAACGTCTGCCGGTTAATGTCGACACCTTTATACTCGTATCATACGGCATACACCCAGTCAACCGACTCAAAGTTCACACTCAATCATTCATTCGGTTGGTGGTAGCTGGCTGGCTTGGTGCTGCGCAAGTTTGCCGCAGTAATTTGAGTGTTTCGTTTTAGCTCAAATTTCTATTGTCACCGACCGCAACATGTGAACAACGAATGTTGTTACACCACTGAGCGAGTGGCCGGTCTGAACGGGCGAGACAAACATGCGAGATACAGACCCGCAGATACTTTGTGCATACAGGTAATGCAGTCATTTTTGTATCTACGTATCTACAATCGATTTTTGTGTGGTGGTGGTGTTTGTGAGAGTTCGGCATAAAAGATTCACTCAAATGAATAACTTGCCTTGAGTGTGTGTTGGGCGAGTAGATAACCCGCAATTGAGTGAGTCGCATACATAGGCAACGGCCACCACACTCACTCAAATCGAGCAGAAATGGGGTACATACATACAGAATGGAATAAATAAAAAAAGTATCTGCAAATATTTGATGTGCGTCTAAAAAGTTGATTAAGCGTAGTATGTGTTGTTTGTTACTTTCTGGTAATTAGTTATTATGGTTTTTTATGTACACATGGCGAAGCTTTTGTTTTGATAATGTGAACATTTTTTAGCAACAAAAAAAAAGGTAAATAAGGAAGAATGGGATCTCTTTGCGATAACTTTATAAAGCTACAATGAAAACATATACTATCAGAAAGTAATGCAAAAAATTTGATATGAGAAGAGTATTGGGAGAAATTAAAAACGCTGACAAATACAAATTTGATAAAACAAAATAAAATTACGCCAAATATTTTGTTAAATGAATTTTTACTTAAATATTTTAGATCCTTTGATTTTGCTGGTGCTGTCAAACCATTCGAAATATTTAAACATATCAAAAAAATTATACAGTCAGTCAATAAAGTTTAGGTACAGCGAATTTTTTAGAATATGAGCAACTATTTTTTAAATATTTTAGTTTACGCTAATTTTGTATAAAAATATGGTTAATTCCACAACAAAAACCCCAAAAATCAGAGTTCCAAGCCTTGTGCCAAATTAAAGAAAATTCTGCAAATTTTCATCCAAATATTGCACTTCTTATTTACACTCTTTAAGCTAAGAATCCAGCTCCTTAGAAAACGGTCAAGAAAAAATTGACATTATTTCGTGTGTGTCCAAGGATTTTTGACATCTGATATTTCACAGACTGCTCTACTCACCCTTTCTTCACGAAATAATGGAACGGGCATATATTTCTGTTGAAAATATGGATTACCTTGGAAAACCGTAGTAGAAAGCATTGCAAACTTCTTAGGAGCTCCGTACTGTCTTAAGGAAATTTGACACGAGAGAATTTTTCGCCATTTCTTCGCCGCTTTTTATATGGAGTTTTGGCTTTTCTTGAGAGCTGGATACTAAGCTTAACACCAGATTGTAACTGTTAGTCAAAATCGCTGATCTGCGCTGGTGTTTTTCGACAGTTTTGAAAAAATATAAGAAATTTATGGATTTTCGAAAATTGACGATTGAATTTTATGAAATAACGAAATCCATAAAAGAAGGCAAACGGGGATTTAAAATACATATATGCATATATATATATAAACTGACGTCACTACAGATCTTTCATTCATTTTCACAGCAATTTTAATTAAAATAATAAATACATACACATATCCTTTGTTTTGATTTACAATACATATAAATTTTACTGCTCATTCTACAAACACTGTTTATCTACTTTTTAAAAAGATACAATCATGATATTTTACGTCATCATTGCTCTGTAGACAAAGACGAGTGAATGCAATTAAATAGCAAAAAAAAAAACAAAAAAAAACATTTAGAAGATATAAAATAGCAATAAAAGCGATGCTATTATAAATCACTATAATGACAGTTAAATACTAGTTGTATACTCGTACGTGCTTCCAAACATACATACATACATACATATGTATGCTTCTGGCAGCCATAAAGCAAAACGAAGTCGTCCCGGGCAAATTACCTGAAAGAATACATATGTATGTACATAAACGCACTAACAACAAATGGCGCTTAAAATCACCTATTACGAAATAATTATGGCGTCATAAGTAATGAAGTTAAAGTGATGACGAAGCTAACGAAAAATGCCGAAGCAGATTTTAAAGCCACAACGATGAGGTAATCACCTCGAGTGTTGGCTAAATTCAACGCAAAAAGAGTTTTATAAAGACAAGTTATACATACAAGCAGCGCTAACGCTAGAAAAGAAACAGTCTTCAGTAAATAATAAATACGAAAAAGTCGTGAAAATCTCGAGAGTATTGAAATGTTTACTCTACTGACTGTGTGACTTCAACTCTTTGCGCAAGTTAGTATTTCCATTGAACTTTGAAAAGTATGAATGAAAGTTCTTCTTACATATTTATACGGGCATATGTTATGTCATACATATATTTGTAGTATGCCTACTTACTTACACACACTTCGATATGTTTGCTTAACTATTAATTTCTTCAGTTCATTGTTCCTTCGAGATACGCATATTATTGATTGAGTATTTTTTGGCTTATGTTTCTATGAGCCTTTTTCACGCAATCGTATCTACAACAGCAAATATGCCAAAATGTTTATCTTTAAATACATATGTATGTATGTATATTTGTACATGTTGCTTTTCTTTTGCGACGCAAAAGTTTTATGACACACTAATTTTTCTTTGCACCCATTGAGGGTGGCGCACAGTGTGTCGGCAACTTATAAACTGTGGTTAAAAATCCAATTTTGTTAAAATTTTTTATACGGCGAAATATGAAATGAGGCTAATAAATACCGGTAAACTTACTGCCTACACTCAAGTGGGCGAACGCATAAAAGTGGTCCGATTCTGATGAAATTTAGTCTGCACATGTTTTTTACCACAAAAAGTATAGATTTAAAAAATTATGAAGATCGAACAAAAAAACGCCTATCGTCCATTCCAAATCTGCCTTTGAAGCATAGATACATACAGCGACCCAAAGAAGTAGCTTTGATTTTGTTGTTTCGGTTTTCAAATTGTTGTTCATGCCAAATTTTTTTCATTAATTTTATTTTAAATATAGCTCGTTATACAACAAAAATTATGTGAATCACAGTTTCAAACTTTGGAGAAAATTAGGGAAAATTCAGCTAATATTCATCAAAATTTCAAACTATTATAATTCGAAGTTTTGCAAAAAATTCAAGTGTGCAATTTCAATTTAAATAAAAATAAAGTGCAGCTCCGCTGATTTTTAATAATTTTTTTTTTGCAAACGGTGTTGAGCATTTTTTTCCATACCAAAAAAAAAATCGTTATACACTTAGGAAAAAATCAGCTGAATATATTTCTCCTTAACAAATGATTTTGTAAGTATAAATAATTGTGGTAACTATCACCAAATAATGCCGCTTAAAACTTGCAATTTATTGTACTATAATTTAACAGGCTATGAAACTGCATATGCAAACATTTTCTAAAAATTCAGATTAAAAAGTTCCTAATTTTGATGAAAATTTGTTGAATTTTTCTAAGCTATGTATAAAAATTTAAAATTTGATTTATATAGTTTGGGCTAAAGTATAAACCAAATTTTTATAAAAAAAATAACAAAAAAATTTTAACTTTAAAAACCTTGCAAATGTTTAACAAATATCACCATGAACTCAGTTTTGCCCTATAGTGTATATAAAAAAAAAATTATCAAAAAAAAAAATACTATAAAAAACAATTCAAATATTAAAAAAAATTATAATGAAAGATAAATGCAATGTACTTTTGAGAGTCACTGTATATATTATTGAAATAATTTTGCATATTCTACTCCAAATAAACCACTAAAAAGCTCTTGCCATGCAGAATTTTGATACTTTCTAAGCAAATTTGCGAAATAGCAAACGGTATTTTATTCAAATGAAGGACAGGCTAACATTTAACCATATAGCCTTTTTTTGTTAAAACATTCTGTTAATACTTATATAAAATTTGCTCGTAATTCTTCTGGAGTCATCTGAGTAGGTATAAGTCATAGTTGTACACGGTAGTTGACGCTTGAGTAGAGATAAGTATGTATTGAAAAATAGGTATTAGGTAATAGCCCGATTTGGAAATTGAAATTAAAGTTGATATTTCTGAAACAAATTGATCCGATAGGTGACACTGGAATCATGATATTTAGCAAAGCCATAGTTGAGGTCCTATTAGACTAATTTTCGAAAAATATGTTGGCTATATAAGGCGAAATATTCTCAAGAAAAATTAAGTCGCGGTTTCATTTGTTGAAGAAAACTTAAAGCAGTACGTTCACACCTGTTATAATACGAAATATGCAATTTTAAGAGACCAGTGGCTCGTTCACGACTGTCATGATTCGAGCCCAAATTTCTCTCAATATACGGAAATGTGTTCGGTATATCGAGAAGAAAAGTATTAACGCCCAATTTCGGGTTTCATTAGAGGGTGTATGACTTTTAATAAATATTTATGAGCATAAAGTTTTCATGATGACGTTTAGGATGAGGTGTTCAGACCAACTTGGTCATATCATATTTACATTGTACTAAATGCTTTTGTACTGTTCTAAAGTCCTTTTGAAATACCAATCATTTTATTTGGAGATTGGAAAACATAGACATAGAAATAAATATGGCTACTTAAGCGGGTATTTAAATCGGAAAGTCGTCTTCACTGTACACTGAGAAAAGAGTGAGCTAAATATATTACGTTAACGTAACTAAACTCTTTGCGGTCGGGTTTTGGTCCTACGTACAGGTAACTTTTGGGCTTTACAAAAACCACAAACTCCACAAAATCGGCTTCATAAACAATTTGCAACTTGAAGGCTCGCCCTCTATATGTTATTGAAATAATGCTAACAAATAAAAATATTTTATTAGATTTATTTCACTAATCTATCAGCTATCAATGTCACGATGTAGTAAATGTTGTATGTTGATCATTTTCGCCGCACTCGCGACACTGTGAGGCGTTTTAGCACACTCCA